TAGATAGATAGATAGATAGATAGATAGATAGATAGATAGATAGATAGATAGATAGATAGATAGATAGATAGATAGATAGATAGATAGATAAGAAACCATAATCCTGAACAAAATCAAACTTTGTTCAAACAGTTTAAATCAAATCCTAATGTACAGGTGAGCGCAAACTGCTACAGAAAAAAAGTAAAACCATTTAAAAATCAAATTAAACTCCAAGAAACAATTGAAAACCTGTCATTWCAATGACAACCCTTATTTATTGAAATACTTAATTTAGTTAGTGAGCATCTTTTTCAGTCTGGAATCGCCAGCTCAGGTTTGATCTGCTTTAAATGAGCACAACCACTATTGTGTTTGGTGTGCCTATCTAGGGCAGCAGCATTGTTGGCTAAGTCTTTTATGTGAGCCCGTTCCCAAAGCTGTGGCTAAGCTGTGAGTCGGAGGCTCAAACAGGGAGCTGGAGCCATTTATGCCTGACCTTCATCAGTGTCTTGAATAAGAGAATAGAACACTAAAATTCAGTGGCTGATGGAACTATTATTTAACCCTTTAAAACCACTGCTCAAATATCTTATTGCAGAGACTTTGTGCTTTAGCACCGAGTCACGTGTTTACCACAAATTCACGGCACAGWGAAATACTGTACATGAAACAGATCTTGAGATGGCTTTAGAAATGTTCAGGGCAGCCTGTGAAGGTTTAATGCTTTTTTTTTTTTTTTTTTTTTACAAAATGTGAGAAGACATTTGAAGAGCTATCCCATGGTAATCTTATGAAGCTTTTATTTTTGTAAGAAAGCTGTGCTGCACGGAATTGCTGAAAATGTAGAGGGGTTTGTTTCCATGTGGATGCATTTTGTTGTTTTTTATACTGTACTTTGAATGGAATTCATCTTTTTTGTGTAAAAAATACATTTTTAAACATGATAAAATATATACTGATTCTTTGTCTTTTGATAAAACCAAGCATTTCTGTAAGTTCATCACAATAATCTGCAAGGAAACCCTCATATAAAATGATGCCTTACCACAAACCTACAGAAAACTGCTTTCACAGTCTCCTTCAGCAATGCAACTCCCTAATGGCAGTGGTCACCCCCAGGAGGACAATTTGTCTGTGGCACGTTGCAAAAACTGTGCAGGAAGAAGCTTTGAAGAACATAACACAAAGCTCAAGGCACTGACCAAAAACCTTCATATTCCTCAGATGCTAAACCAACTGAGCATCTGCCAGATCCACCCAAACAATGCTCGGTTCCACAGAGACCCCACCCCTCAGTATACAGAACCCAGATCTGCTGCTTCACACCTGRTTGGTTACCCTAAGTGGTATCCATACCTGTTTAGAGGATTGCCTTCTCAAAAGTTCAGAAAAGCTGAGTTTAAGAAACAAAAAATAATTGCTTTTGTACAAATCCCTGTTGGAGGTATAGTGTACCATGAAGGTTTTGATTTAGTAGTCTATCAACATCTAATTCTATTTAATTCTGGATTGTGTAAAGTATTATGAAAACTTTGGAGAAATTCAACTTTGTTTTAAGTTTGCCAGGAACCAACGCTGCTTGTTTAATGAGCTTCTAAAGAGAACCCAAAGCTGTGAAAAGCACATGAGTTCTATGCGGAAACACAGGATATAGTTGAAAATCAGAAAATCTGTTTACATGCCCCTCTGTGACCTGATTATTTGCATAAGCTGAATTCAGACAGAGGGTGGCAAAATCCTCGCAGTAAAAGTAAAGGCAGAACCTTCAGTTCAACCTTGAACACATGTTTATTCAGGCAGAATGATATTCTATATTTAAGTTTTCTCTGACATTGGATTGAAATGAGCTTGATCCGGGTTTGGG